CTACTGCTATTACTTTTACTTATATCATCAATGGCTCTTATTAACAAGCAACAATATGTCCATCATCGTTTACTTCATCACCATCATCTTTTTCATTACTCGCAGTGCTTACTTCATCACCATATATATATATATATATATATATATATATATATATATATATATATATATATATATATATATATATATATATATATATATATTTTTTTTTTTTTTTTTTTTTTTTTTTTTTTTTTTTTCTTTTTTTTTTTTTTTTTTCTTTCTTTCTTTTTTTTCCCCATCTTTTGTCGTTTTTCGAAGGCCACATATCCCACAGACGAAGATCCTTCACTTGCGTCTCCCACACTCTCTCTTTACACCATCTCACATCTTGTAGGAATAAATGAACATTTTATTGTCTTAAGGAGCAAAAAAGGGTCAATTTTTCACTAGACCATTTTTGCTTCTCCCTCTCCCCCTTCCGCTTTTTGTTCGGAGGAGGAAGAGAAGGGAGGATAAGCAAAGAAACTTTTATCTTTAATATTAATGGCACCCATTCCTCATGCTGTAACTAAAAAAAATGTTTATATAGAAGGAACTGTAACGCCATAAATTATGTAAGATGATGAAGCTTCTTACAAAGAAAGAGGGAGAAAGAGATAGAGAAGGAGAAGGAGAAAGAGATAGAGAGGGAGAAAGAGAAAGAGAGATAGAGGCAGAGATAGACAGACATGTAGATAGGCAGAGAGATACATAGATAGATACAGAGACAGACAGATAGAGAGAAAAGGTACTATGAGTATTCAAAAAAAGTTTTTCTCGCTGCGTCACCTGTTTTGAAAATGTGTAATTACTGAGTATATATATATATTTTTTTCTCACTGATGATAATGTGCAATCTATTTTACTGATGATTTATATTAATAGTGATGACTGTAGTAGTAAAAAAAAATGTATTCATAGTGTCATTAACAGTACATAATTTAATGAGTGTTTTGCACACCGCGTTTTTTGTTTCGTATCTTTAAAGATCTGTGTATATTTATCCATTACTTTGTTTATCGTTTATTCATTTCTCTAATCATGCAATTATCCATGTATGTATTTATTATATGACAATACATATATTTTTATTGATAACATTATCAGTTCTAGAACAGTTTATCGACAATAATAATACCAAAGCCTATTTCCCCCCATTTTTTCCATTCTTTAATCCCAGGTGGAAGCACAAGATAAAGAAAGGCCATTTGCTCTAATCAATAAAAATCAAAAGGCCATATGCTCTAATCAATAAAAATCAGTTCGGTAATGATGATCGAAGTAGTAACGTTCGCGAGAGAGATAAAAGTATCCGCGGCGTGAAGGTTCTCCCATTGGAACCGCGGTGCTAATGTCCCGGCGGGCGCAACCTCGGAATCTCACGCAACCCTGCTAGAATTTTAAATCGGAAATCTCCAAGGGACTTTGAAGATTTCGGCGCTGCTTTGATTTCGGTGGACTGCTTTTTTTTTTCTTTTTTTTTTTTTTTTTTTTTTTGAGGGATTTTTTTTTTTCTGTCATTGTCTGTCTCTGTCTGTCTCTGTCTCTCTCTCTCTCTCTCTCTCTCTCTCTCTCTCTCTCTCTCTCTCTCTCTCTCTCTCTCTCTCTCTCTCTCTCTCTCTCTCTCTCTCTCTCTCTCTCTCGCTCTCTCTCTCTCTCTCTCTCTCTCTCTCTCTCTCTCTCTCTCTCTCTCTCTCTCTCTCTCTCTCTCTCTCTCTCTCTCTCTCTCTCTCTCTCTCTCTCTCTCTCTCTCTCTCTCTCTCTCTCTCTCTCTCTCTCTCTCTCTCTCTCTCTCTCTCTCTCTCTCTCTCTCTCTCTCTCTCTCTCTCTCTCTCTCTCTCTGCTTCTCTCTCTCTCTCTCTCTCTCTCTCTCTCTCTCTCTCTCTCTCTCTCTCTCTCTCTCTTTCCTCTCTCTCTATCTATGTATATTTTATTATATATATCATCTATATACTTATATATATATATATATATATTATATATAATATATATATATATATATATATATATATATATATAGTATATATATAATATATATAATATATCTCCTTTTTTCCCTCCCGCGTTCACCCCTCCTCCTCCTTCCCTTCCCTCGCTCCCTCTCTCCCTCCTCCCCTTCCCTTTCTCTTCCCCTCTCTCTTCTTCTTTCTATTTCTTTCTTAGACTTACATCGCCACCATCGCCAACACTCTTCCTCTCTCTTCCTTCTTCCTACCTTTATCTTTTCCTCTTTCCTTCCCCCTCTTTACCCCAGTCTCCCCTCACGTGTTGTAGAAGATTTCCCCCAAAGTTAAGGTAGGTCATAATTTACCCCGGTCGTAAATTTGTCAGCATACGGCTCCCAAATAGCGCCGTAAGAGATGATGTAAGACTCGGAGGCGCACGCGCTCTCTCGGACTTCCCCTTCCCCCCCCCCCCCCCACTTCCTTCCTCCCCTTCCCTCTCCTCCTCTTTCCCCTCTTATCCCCCCCTTCTTTCTCTCGTCCTCTTTTCCCCTTTTACTCCCTCTCTTCCTCTTTTCCCCTCTTATCCTCCCCCATCTTTTCCCTCTTATCCTCCCCTTTTACTCCTCTCTTTCCCCTCTTACCTTCCCCCTTTTACTTTCTCTCGTCCTCTTTTTCCCCTCTTATCCCCCCCTTTTACTCCTCTCTTCCCTCTCTCCCCTCTTATCCTCCCCCTGTTACTACCTCTCTTTCCTCCCCTTTTCCTCCCTCTCTTTCTCTTTTCCCTCGCTATCCTCCACCCCTCTCCCCTTGCCTCTCCCTCCCCTAGGCATTAGTTTGGTGTTTCTATTCCATTCACTTAGCGACTAAGGAGACGGGAAGGTAGGAGGGGTACGGGGAAGGGGAAATGGGAGCGGAGGACCCCTCTCGCTTCGACCTACCCCCACCCACCACTCTCCTTCCGTTTCTGACCCGCAACCAGCCCTTTGTCCCTCGAGTCCCCTTCCCTTACCCCTTGTCACTTCCTTTCTTACCCCCGTGGCCACCTCTGCTCTCTTTTCCCCTAGGGTTATTCCCCTCCCTT